ATGAATATCAAAAATTCTCCGGTACCATATAAAGTAACACTTCCAGTTACTACTTGGTAACCAGAGTTTTGAAGTCCATGTGCTACCCGTTGAGAAAATACTTGCGCAGCAAGACTGACTTTCATACGTTTAATTTTTGTTTGATCAAGGTGGTGTTCGGTTAATATAGGACAACGACGAAACATACTTGAAGTAGAATCATAATTGTAATAATCTATGATGTCTTTCCAAAATGCTTCATATTCGTCCCCATCTAATCCTATAAATTTAACATTGTACTTAGCAAAATTATTCCGCATACACTTTAACAAATGTGGAGGATCATATAAAAGTACAATTCCATGGCCATCTATTTCAAAAAACAGTTTAATCCGGTGAAGGTTTTTTGTTTTATAATACTCTTCTGTATCATTTAAAAGCACATTAACTGCTTTACAATTTGCCGCATATTGGTCGCATATAAAAAACCAATGCAAAAGCAAGATAAGATGCCGAAATTATTCAGAAAAACACTCTCATGAAAATTGCCATATCGTATCAGACTTTATATGTGCAGTATGCCATGGAAACCATCAAGCAAATGACAAAGAATGCAAATTCTTTAAAGTAAATAAAGAAATAAAACGAAATGTTGGCACTACATAATATATTTTATCTTGAAGCTAAAAACATGATGTGGAAAAGAGGATATGCTGAGGCAGCTAAGATCAACCCGTACAATCCGGGTCGCAAACTGTGGCAACAACCTTTAAACCAATACTAAATAACTTTTTTGCCACATCAACAATAAGAGATTTTAAATCAGAACTATTTACTCCACCTTCGGAAAAGTAGAAAGCAACTGGTTGCTTTCAACGATCCTTTATTCCTTTTATCATGAAAACAAGTGCATGATCTGCAAATAAACTTTTTCTGCCATTCGCTAGTTTTACAAAACCGACAATGTGATCCTTTTTACTATCATATGACAATTCTGAAGATAGTGCATGGGGAGTTATCTCCGAACTAATGTATATTATCCTGTTTTGGAAAGGACTACTATTTTTAGCGAAAAAAAGATGTCGCTACTAGTTTCAAAATATGAAAAAAACGTCAAAATGACTCGCTTAGATTTGCCATTCGCCATTTCGTATCAAAGTTTGTGGTTCGATGTTGTTTCTGTAATTAATTGTATTCATTGTATTCAAGTAAGCATTTATATGAAATTTAATATGGCAAAATGTAACGCACCAACTTGTGGTAACTTCAGAAATAATATAAAAATGCACTTCTCTCCGGCTTTATGAAATGAGCAAATTAGAAATGTCCAATTATATTTCACAGAATAGTTCTCATGTCTATAGTTCACAGTGATATAAGAAGAGAAAGACAATCTGATATATGACCAGGAGAACACTCTGCAACTCTAGTGGAAAAAATAATAATAATTCTGAATATTTTAATACCATTTGCTATTATGACTTGATATTATATTACAACATGTTATGTTTATTAGATGTTCTTGGGAATACAAATTGCAGCAGAATCTAGTGACTGAGGATAGGAGTGTCTTGATGCCGAGGGCATATAATGTATGACACATCCATTATATGTTGAGGGAGCTAAGAAGGATAGACAAACAATGCAATAATTTAAGGTATAAATTGCAACAGAGTATAAAATGCTCAGAAATATTCTTAACATTCCATCCGAAAGGACTGCTGCACTGTTCTATTGACACAATCGAATCATAAGAAATTCAAGATTTTGTAGAATGCAACTTTATTAATGATTGATTAATAAGCAAAATAACTATTAAATGCAAAGTTAATGTTAAAGAAAAATGACTCATAAATTAATTTTAATTCTTGGAATTCAGTTTTCTATCAATTTTGATATCAATATTTATATTTTATGTCTGTAGGATTTAACTTTTTAAATTTGTTCATTATTTGTCATTTCTTCTAATTATACTATTCAATTATCTATAGTATATACTCTATATACTACATACTTAGACTCTATACTTTTCTCTTCTCTTTTTAATATATTATTTTTAGTCATTAAGATATTAATATTAGTCAGTTCGTGTAAATTAATTATACTTATGAAAACTTTTACAATATTTCTGTGTAGTTGTTATATATTCTGATCATTCAGTAATTCATATTGATCGTTCCTTTTAAGTTTAACATTTTATTGTAAATGCTTCTACATAATCTGTCTAGTTGTTATATATTATTGATCATTAAGTAATTCATATTGACCGTTCCTTTCAAGTTTATCGTGATCGTTCCTTGTAAATTTATCAGACCATTGTGAATACATTTTTTAGTTACTTATAATTGTAAAATTATAATACTTATTATTATGTATATATTGATTATTACATTTATAAAAATTTTAATTGTTATGTTAAAATGTTTGTGATATATTTGAAAAAATATTTTGTACTTCGTATGTTTTTTTTCTCATTTTCAAGAAATTATTTAGGTTTTCTTATTTTGAATTACGTATGCGAACCATATCTAGGAATAATGCAATAGTTGATTTATATACTGAACAAGTGCTGCCTCCTTCAGATCGCTAAAAATATTAAAATGGAGGTAATGTCAAATGGCCCGAGATAGCGATCTATTTATGTTTACTTATCTATGCAGGTATGTATATAATGATGTATTATCATAGACCTTATACAATACAAATTGAAATTGTATAAGGTCTATGTGTATTATGCATAGAATAAATATGTATCATGAAAATAATATTAAAATGTTATATATATATATATATATATATATTTGTGTAAATATATATTATATATATTGATATGTAACGAACCTTATTTTATAAAAACTTAAAATTATGTAAAGGTTTCATATCCCTGCCCATTGCAGCAGGTTGTGTAACCCTGACATGTACCGTTAAGGACCGAGTATAAAACCGGTGCAATGGGCCTAGTCGAGGTCATTCAGTACAGTCGCCAACTGGAGTTATTGTACGTATTATTCAATAAAGAAAATATTAAGTAGAAAGTGTATTATCAATACCAAGGAAAAGAACCAAAGGTATCCGAAGGAAAGGGTGTTGTCTATACTATATATATATATATATATATATATATAACTATATATATATATAAACACCCAAGGTGTCCGAAGCAAACAGTCGTGCTCCCGCTATCAAATCCAATTCAATATATTTGTGTGTAAAAAGATGCTTTCAATTTGGATGCAGAGAGCGAATAATCCTTTAATGTATGACCTAACTCTCTGGTTTGTGGCACAAATCGAAGATAATTTGAAATCGGAACCAATTAGAAGTGTCTCCTTTACGGCAATAACAGAATAGTTTTCAAGTCACTGGAGAATGCTCTGATACAGAACCAGAAGAACAATCTGCAACTCCAAGGACAAGGCCAAGTAATTAGAACTCTAAATACTTTAATACAATTTGCAAAAAAAATATTAATAAATGAATCTTATGTTCTTAGGAGATGGAAGCCTAAACACCTTGAAAAAGATTTTTGCAGCACCTCTAAGATTGTGAAGTGCAGGTTAAAAGTCACCCATTCTGACACCAGTTTTCCGACAAGGTATTTTTTCATACTAATTGCAGCAAAAATATTTAATATGATAATTACAATATCTTCAATTAATATGATATAACAATATATTCAATAGAAGTCCTTGATGGTAGCTGCAAATTGCCGCAGAATGCAATGATAAGGCGTAGGAGTGCCTTAACACCCAGAAGATGTATGATACATCAAATTTTGTTTCGGGATTAAAATGCAATGCAATAATTTAAAGGATAAATTCCAACAGAGTATACAATGTTTTGAGAAGTTTTCAAATATTCCGGAAACTTAAAATGTAAGGGCAAGAATTTTGATAATGTCTTTTTGATAATTTGATGTCTCAATTAAGAGAGATACTCAAAGACCAGACAGTTTATAAAGCGCAAGGGTTTAGTTATAGTTTTAACTAAACCTCCTTGCAATAAAAACTGGATTAAAACGATAGATAGATTTGAGCTACAATTGGTATAAATTAAAAGTAGTTCAGGGTTTTGGTTAAATTTGTTTAAAAAAACTTATACAGAAACTATTCAAAGATTTCGTGAAATATAACTTTATTAATGATTGATTAGATAGCAAAATAACTATTAAATGGAGAGATAACAAACAAGAATAACTCGTAAATGAATTTTAATCCTAGGAATTTAGTTTTATCTCAATTTGGATATCAATATATATATATATTTTGTTTTTAGGATTATTTTGTTTGGAAAGTATTCATTCTTTTTTAAAAATGTGCTGTTCTTTTTATCCTTTTAAATTATTGCATTACGTGTCATTCCTTCTAAATTTGTCATTCCATCATCAATACTCCTGCGCTTTTTACTTCTTAGTTTTTAAGTTTTTAATATATTATTATTAGTCATTAAGTAATTAATATGAATAAGTTATTTCTAGAATATTAATAGAATAAGTACTTTAAAAATATGTCTGTAATATACTTTAATTAATAGTAGTCAGTTATTTCTGCTTAGTTTATAATTCTTCAAAAATATGTCTGTGATATATTTGAAAATATATTTTGTATTTCATATGTTTTGTTTTTATTTCAAGTAATAATTTTTTTCAGATTTTTTGGGCTGTATTGATTTTATGTACAAATGTAGAAGTAATACCAGGGGTTCATTTACATACTGTATGTACATGTGCTGCCATGTAGTGATCTATTCGTAATTTAAAATGAGTGTAACGTCAAATGGCCCGAGATAGCGATCTATTTATGCTTATTTATCTATGAATGAAACATACCGAGTGTTGTCACACCTGATCTCAATCTTATGCGAAGTGAGACTCAAATCGAAATGTCAAAGTCAAAACGAATTAATAGATATATGTATATTAAAACATATTTATCATTGATGCAAAGCATTTAAATTGAAAGCTTTCTTAACTTTTTATAAATTACTGTTGGTTTGTTTATGAAAAACGACTAGCGCCGAAAATGTCCGAAGAAACAATTTCAAACCCAATAATTAAAATTGAACCAAGGCAGTATTCTCCAGTTAAACAAGAACTTGATGATTATGACATTACTCCAGAAACATATTTAGAAAACGAGGTAATATATTTACAGCAATTTTCAGAATTTGAGATGAAAATAAACGAAAAAATAAAACAAGAAACAATTGATGATCAAGATGAAACAAGTTTCGGCGAGGGGTCTTATGTGGAAATCGAAGAAATACATCAACAGCGATTTTTAAATTCTGATGTCACTATAGATGAAGAAATCAAGAAAGAAACAATTGATGATCAAGATGAAGCTCGTTTCGATGAGAATTCTTACACGGAAAATGAAGAAATATGCCTACAGCGATTTTTAAAATCTGAAGTAACAATTGACGAAGAGGTTAAGTGTGAACCGATTGATGAGCATGTTGCAGACACCAATAAAAACAAAAATATTGATAATGTCGGTGAGTCAAGTGATTTAGTGGATAATATAAATGAATGCAATAATTCATTTAAAAAAGTTTTAGGAAAACGTAAAACTACCCTAAACTTGAAACAACCCTTGAAATGTAAAATTTGCAATAAAAATTTCTCAAGAATTAGCACCTTACGACGACATAAAATGATTCATACAGGAGAACGTCCTTACAAATGTGAAACTTGTAATAAAGCATTTACAACAAATGGTAATTTAAGTCAGCATAAAAAGATTCATACGGAAGAACGTCCTTACAAATGCCAAATATGTAATAAAGGATTTAGAGCAAAGCAAGATTTAAAACTACATGAATTTGTCCACACTAAAGAAAGCAATCATAAATGTGCAGTATGTAAAAAAACATTCGCAAGAAAAAAAAAATTAAGAATGCATGAAATGATCCACACTGGAGAACGTCCTCAAAAGTGTCCATTATGCAATAAATCATTCACAAGAAAAGAAATATTAAAGCAGCATTTAATGATTCATACTGGAGAACGACCACATAAATGCTTAATATGCTGTAAAGCATTTGCAAGACAAAGCCAATTAAAACAACATTATTTTGTCCATACTAAAGAAAGTAATCATGAATGTGCAGTATGTAAAAAAACATTCGCAAACAAACAAAATTTAAGTCAGCATGAAATGATCCACACTGGAGAACGTCCTCAAAAGTGTGCATTATGCAATAAATCATTCACAAGAAAAGAAATATTAAAGCAGCATTTAATGATTCATACTGGAGAACGACCACATAAATGCAAGATATGCAATAAAGCATTCAGATTAAAACAACATTTAAAACAACATGAATTTGTCCACACGAGAGAAAGCAATCATTAATGAGCCACATGCAATAAAACATTTGCAACTACACCAACCAATTAAACCAACATAAAACTGTTCATACTGTAGAACATCCTTATAAACGTCAAATATGTAATAAAACATTAAAATCTAAACATGGATTAAAATGCCATTCAAAACAAAACAATCATGAGAACTGATAAAAGTATACCGATAGAATAGTTTGGCAGATGAATTTATAATAGAGGATTAAATTTTCATAATTTTAAACACACTAAGACATTATAATTTTAAATAGCAGACGTTCTCATTAGTGTAGAACACTTTGGTAAATATTGTTTATAAAATATCTTTGAAAATATTTGTGGCGACTAATAAAATATAATATTTACTTCATTGCTCAAATATTGTATTATTTATTTTTATCTAAATCAAATTGTCTTTTATTCAATTATGTACATATGTATATGAATAACATAAAAATGAAAACTTGTTATAAATAATATTTGTTATTATTGGTCACTTAATAACTACGCATAGAGTAGGTTATAGTAATCATCCAAAAACGAAAATCAAAAGTAACATTTTAAAATACCTTAAAATAAATGGATATGTATGTATGTGTGTACAAATTTTCTCTGAAACCTATGAAACGGTTTTTCATTTTCGATTTACTTGCAATTACTATAACTTACCCTGCGGGAAGTTAAAAATATTGTTACGGGTTCTTTTATTTATAACCCTTTTGTTATGATTCACTTTATTGCTAGTTGCGGATTATTCCAATTCATTCAATTATTCGATCATTTGTTACTTAAATATTACTTTTATCTTTCATCCCGTACTGCTGAAAGACTAAATATTAGAGCTACTACAAATGAGAGGCTTTTGTTCATGACTTAACTAAACAATATTTTATATTCACATATTTACATACTTATTCTAATCTCAATCTGAACTATACTACTTGAATCTGGACTTATCTGTAACCACCATTGTCTATCGTGTCCATACTTCGGACTCCCGATTCACATCACACACTAGTCACATTTTAACTAATAGTTTACTTTCGGTTTGGGGACAGCTTCCGATGCGCTGTCCCCCACAGCATTCCTTGCTTACATTATCACAACATCAATTATAAAACACTTCGTGCACTACACCGCGCTCATCCCTTCGACTCATATCGGACTCACGCTCTTGGGCTATTACTACCACTTACCAAAACAACTGTTAGGTACTAACGCTTAAGAAGGATTCTTCCGACCATGACCGGTAATCTCCGAACAAATGTAGATTACTGTGTTTTGAAATGGATTGGTATTCGAATTGATCGAAGGATGGCGCTACGATTTCCAATTTCATTGATCTAGCTCAGGCATGTCCAACTCAAATTACTCTCTGGGCCAGAATTCAGGAATGTACAAGGCACTGGGCTACATAGATAAGTTAGCATAAATAGATCGCTATCTCGGCCGATTTGACGTTACACCCATTTTAATTTACGAATTGATCACAACATGGCAGCACTTGTACAGTATGTAAATTAACCGCTGGTATTTTTTCTTGATATGGTTCGTATACATAATACAGTAAAAGGAAACCCAAATAATTTCTTACATTAGAAATGAGAACAAAGTATAAGAAGTACAAAATATATTTTCAAATACATCACAGACCAATTTTTTACATAACAATAAAAATTAGTAGTGACATGTTATAAATGTAAAAATTATTATACATAATAAAAAGTATTTCACAATTACAAGTAACTAAGAAAATTAACCTGAATTTAAGCACTATATTCGGATGTTGCTCAAGTTATTTAGAAAAGAATATTATAACACTAACCTTCAAGGGAAAAACATTAAGATATTAGGCATGATATAGATTCACTTTATATGTCTTCACATTTGTTTATGTAATAAATAATCTTATATCTTACATCAAAACCATTTTCATCAAACAAAAATAAAATCATGAATACCACAAAGATGCAAAGTAATAATCTATAATTTAATAGTGTCAATAAAATAGTTATGTATTCAATGCAGACCATGAAAGAAAAAACAAAAATAAATAAATAAAAATAACATAAAATATAATTAAATTAAAAAGAAAGAATAACATAAAAAATAAAGAAAAATAACTAAAAATGAAATTAAAAAAAAAAAAAAATCGAGAAAAAGAATCTTTGAATTGATATAGAAATTACATAAACCACAACCAGAAAGTAACAGGATGTAATACTTAAAATATTTATAAAATGCTTCATACTGAAACCACTTCATATATTGTAATATTGACGAAAACTTGAATTAATTATAAATAAATTAGAAAAACATGTTCAGCAAAATAACAACGAGAGCCATAATAGATTGATAATCTTATATATAAAAATGGAGCTCTCTTTCAAATGTCCGAATAAAACTCGAAGACGGCTGAATCTTTTTGGCCAGTCTTAGTCTTGAAAAATTCGTGCCAATCCAGAGAAAGTCCAAAAGGTGAGAAATTATTTCAAATCCGCGTAGAAACTTTACATTTTTAATTTGAAAATTTTTGTAGAAGCGTAATTTAAATAAAACAATCGACGGTGAAATGTCAAACGCTTTTGACAGATGATGTTTAATTACGTTTAATAGGATGTTTTACGCGAATATTATTTATTTATGATAAATTTGTAGTAAATAGATTTGTTTGTAGTTTCATTTATATACAAAAACGTTAGTAAACGGGCCGCAAGTGTTACTAGAGACTCAAAATATAAACTTTTTTGATATGTTAATATGAAAATGCACTTTTTGGCATATTTTTCTCAAACACGGTGCTCTGAAAGATCTCATTTGTATAATTTTATACTCAAAGGTATTTATAAAACATTTACTAGGTTATATTATTTTTTATTTATCATATTTAAATTCAGAACCTAAATTTGGTATCGATCAAATGGACATTTTGTCGAATAACATTTTTCCAATTATAATTTCCCAGAATTTATCGTAGAATAGATATTAATATATGAAGGTCCTGGAATAAAAAGGTCCACCACCGATGTGCCAAAAATCAGTAAAGTTAAGCATTATTTAACAAAAATATTTGAAAGTAGAGGAAAAAAGATGTATAGCCAGCTACAAACTTAATTTGAAAACGATAATCTTTGAAATGGGGGGATAAACGGTAATCTTTGAAAATCCATAATAAAAGTATTTTCTTCTGTTGGTAGTTTTAGCATTAGTTAAACATGTAATTATTTTGTAAAATACCTTTAAAATTATAATAAGGCTTTAAACCTTTTGCCACCTGCCCGTTACAAGTTACCCCGCCTATAGGGTAAAAAGGTCTAGATAACAAATTTTTGGAAGATATAAAAAAAGCACATTTCTACAATGATGAAGTAGAAGTCAGTTTACTGAACGTAGTCAGATAATTGTTCGTTTGATATGTCTTATTTGTTGTGATATAATTGTTATGGTTTTCACAATATAGTTTATATTTGCTCAAAGTCAAATTGGACCTTCGTGCCTCGCCCTGCTCTACATATATACGTTTTATTTAATTTACTTTAATTCATCGAATGTAATTCGAAACTTTTCAAAAAGCTGGTCAAAGAAGAAATACTTAATTCATTTTTTATCTCTCCTCGCAAAAATTTGAAAATTTTGTATAAGCTCAATAGTATTATTTACAATTATACACAAAATCCAGAATCCAAAAAGAATCTGAAATACTTGAAACGTAATTAATAAGCCGAAAGACCAAAAAAGACTCGGATTGGATTATACGATGTTTTCTATAGAAAGTGTATAAAACTTGCAGTTTGATTGTATTGACAAAATATAGACAAACTAATAGGGTTTATTGTTTTTATAATACCTAATTGTATACAGCATTCAAACAACACATCCTTATGCACTTAAAGTATTAATATTTTTGATTCTCTAGAAATGGCTTAGAATATACCTTATTTAGCGAAACAACGTTTGCCGGGTCAGCTAGTAATGAATAAAATTATAATGGAAACATCATTAAATGCATAGATAAAAGAAGAGTATAATGATTAAATGAATATTAACCAGGAAAATATTTAATAACTAGTTGGTTTGGTATTTAGCCTTGACGTAAGTTACATGAACTTCCCGATATGTCTAAATAATTGACATAATTAATAAAATATAAATTAATTTATGAGTGATTAAAAGTTCTCCGAGTGTATTTATTACACATAATTGAAAACGAACAAACACGTTAACTCGGAGTATTTTATAAAAGCAAATTTTCAAAAATCAATAATTTTTATAATTGATCCAGTTTTTGTAGGAATTTAATATAATAATTTAGTATGTTCATTAAGACCAAGTAGTCTATCGTTATACCAAGTGAGTAAATCGTCTAATTTTAATTTTAACAAACGCCAAAAAACTACTCATTTTCTCAAACTTTGATGATTTTTTAAAATTACTTAAACTACTTGTCGTAAGGCCGTAATATTACAGTAAGTTCTATAAGACCATGATATATATCGCTAAAAAAAATCCATAAAAATCGGCTTAAATTTTTTTTCAACAGTTAATTACAAGAAAACGGATCGGTAGATTTTCACCTAAAACTAATCAGTACCATTCCCAACTAATATCTTTCGAACAGTTTTTGATTTTTTAAAATCGGTTCGGTAGGATGAGCTTAAATGTGGACGAAAAGTTTAACACTTTTTTTCAAATATCAAAGAAACGGTTTGGCCGATCGTCGCACAAAGCTAACAAACGATAGTCCTCATCGAAATACATCAAATGGTTTTTAAATTCTGAAATCGGTTCAGGCGTTTTTGAGAAAACGTCGATGAAAGGTCTAATTTTGACAAATGTCAAAAAAACGATACCAATTTTTACAAACTTTGACGAATTTTTAATGTTAAACCAATTGTCGTAGGGCCGTAATATTTTAGTATAATCTAGGAGACTATAGTATCTACCGTCAAAAAAATAATAACAAAAATCGTCGAAAAAAATTTTTTTAACACTTTATTACAAGAAAACGGC